CGGCTGTTCGCAAGGCGGCGATCCTTACTACGCTCTCGAGTACATACATTTCGAGGGCATCAGCGAATCGAGGTTCTATGCGGATCACCCTGACACCATCAGTCAGGCTCTGGTGAGAACACATTATACTGTCACGTAACTGGGACCCTGCAAGGTTACAGTTTATGTGCGTAGAAATGTTCGCAGAATTTTGTGTGATACGGTTAGGCGATAAGGTAATAACATAATAGTAAAATAGCAGGTATCGCAGTGATCGATGTGGATCGTATAAACCCTTCTATCGTTGCCGAGATGCTAGCATATATAAACGAAATTAGAAGGTTGTGAGACCGTGATACCAAGCGCAACCATTCACACACACGCGTGCGCACGTACAAACGCGCACACGTGTGCACACGCACACTCATACTCACGCACGAATACACGCACGCGCGTGCATGCACATACACGCGCTCTCGCACGCGCGAGTCATGCACGTTAGCTATACAAGCGTTTTAACCTCTAACCCTCAGCCGAAGCAATGCGTGCGTGATGTGCCTCGAACCCCGGTAAAGGTTGACGAAGCAGGCCTGGAAAGCAAAGAGGCGAACCTATATAGTCTGCTGCAGACAGGTCCTGTCATCGTGGGGCTCAACGTTGAACCATTGCAGTTCTACAAGGAAGGTAGTCAAACGCTTACATGATGCCATGCCACAGAAACGACTATCATGCATATATATATATATATATATATATATATATATATATATACTTTACTATAGTACATGATTACAATCGAGGTAAGATATTCTCCGGTCTTTCCAATCATCAGTGATAAATAATTGAAAGCATCAATGTGATCCAAATATTCCATGAGTTGTTATTTTCGTGACCAAGTACGAATCGTCCATTATAAATAAAAATGCACAAAACAATAACAGCAATTTGATAATCACGACCAATCGTGATCATACAAAATAGACGCGTCTGCAAGATGGCCCGGGAGATCGAACATAGTTAGAATGCAGACGATGATTGGCAGAATCATTCGATGACAATACGGCTCCAAAATCACCGCTATCCGAAAACATCCAGGCTTACATGACGCTGATTGGATACGGTTCCGACGGTGGAACTACTACGCGCCAACATGTGGGTGAACGACTGGGGCTGTCCCGCACGAGGAGTACGATTAACATATAATAATGCGTCACTGACATGGCGCGAAAACGATTGCTTGTCTTTTGCTCTTGATTTACATGTAATATATACTAATATAAGTTATATAATATATACTTATATATATTTTATATTATATTATATTATATTATATATATATTTATATATATATTATAATTATATTATATTATATTAATTTACTTATTTATATTATATTATAATATATTATATTATATTATATTATTAATTTTTATTAGCGATATCGGGATAGATGACATTATTATATTATTACTCTTTGCTAATTAATTGAAGCATACCATGCAGCTGAGACCTGATGTGGATTAGTTCGTCTGGTCTTGTTGCGTGAGAACAAAACATGCCGATGCCGTCACGCGGCGAAATGGTTTAGCTTTGAGCATGCGCAGTGTTTCTATCTCGGCAGTGTACTGTGTCCCCTGCTCGTAAACCTTCCGATGTTTCACGTATTATATCAAGAGCGTATTAAGTATGCTTAATATATAACTTAACATATTTAACTATGTATTTAACTAAATACATAACTTACATAACTTACAAACGTAACTTAACTTAACTTACTATGCTTAACATTCTTAATACGCTCTTGATTATATTTAAATTGACCTTGCGTCACACGTTGTGCGTGCCTTATATGAAGTGAAACAGCAATCGAGTCCCAGTCGTAGAGAGAGACGGTGAAGGCGATGATGCTACAGATTCATGTATATAGCCGTGCCCGCTGATGTGAGCTTCATACATGGACTGACATGCGACAGGTTCGCAGCAGAATTGACCTAACAATCTTGAGCAGCACTATCTATATCTACATCTATATCTCTCTATATCTATAGCCTCTATATCTACACAGCTTCAGCGCTCGCAGAATGCTAGGTTAATCATTTCGGATTGATCGCAAAAACATTTACAAAACGTGTTTATTTCAGTTTTGGTTCCGACTTCGGTGAAAATGGCTACGTCAGATTAACACGCAGGAAAGAAGTCATGGGAATAGGACGTGACGTCATAATTCCAAAGATTCTACAAAGCACACCGTGAAGACGCGCATAATCATTATCGCATCAAAGAAAAGAAACAGTTCCTATATATATATCGTTACTATGATATAAGCATCTCAATTTGTATCGAAGTAAAAAACAACCTCGTCTCCTAAAATACAACGTGTGAGTGTGTGTGTGCGTGCGTACGTGCGTGCGTGCATGCGTGCGTGCATGCGTGCGTGCGTGCGTGTGTGTGTATGTGCAAGCGAGTGTGTGTGTGTATGTGTGTGTGTGTGCGTGCGTGCGTGCGTGTGTGTGTATGTGCA